CCAGAACATCCAGAACGCTGCAGCTCGGGTCCTGACTCGGAACTAGGAAGTACGAGCACATGTGTCCTGGTCTCAGGTCTCTGCTCTGGCTCCTGTGGCTCAGAGACTTTAAAGTGTCTCTGTTTGTACAAGTGTCTCCATGGCCGAGCACCAAAGTCCATCTGTGACATGTTAGTGTCACATGAACATCTCACACTCTGAGGAGCTCAGGGACGACCTCCTGCTGGTGCCAGAGTCACGACTAAACAAGGGGAGTCAGAGTTTCAGGTTCATGCAGCTAAAACCTGGAACAGTCTGAACATGTGAGACAGACTCTTCTGTGACGCTGTTTAAATCCAGACTCTAAACATTTCTGTTTAACTGTGCAAATAACTGAAAGGTTTTCATTCCGCACTCTTCTCTCCAATTTATGTCTCTCTTTTTTAATTTTAATCTCTATGATTATTTATGTTTGATTTGTTTTTATTATGATTTTAATGTATTTCTTATTCTGTAAAACACTTTGAATTACTTTGTGTACGAATTGTGCTGTACAAATAAACTTGCCTTGTGTATGTATGTGTGTATGTGTGTGTATGTGTGTGTATGTGTGTGTGTGTATGTGTGTATGTGTGTATGTGTGTGTATGTGTGTGTATGTGTGTATGTGTGTATGTGTTCTTGACCTGTTCTGGGCTGCAGTTGTGTGTCGGTTTCACACTTGTACTGGACCCTGGATCCAAACGTGGTTTTGTTCTGATCCAGAAACAGAATCTGAGCCTGAAGAACCGACGGAGGAAAACCACAATCCACCTCTGAAAAACACACAACACACACACATAACACACAACACACACACCTGAAACACACAACACACACACACACAACACACACAACACACACACACCTGAAACACACAACACACACACACTGAAACACACAACACACACACATAACACACAACACACACCTGAAACACACAACACACACACCTGAAACACACAACCAACACACACCTGAAACACACAACACACACACATAACACACAACACACACCAAACACTGAAACACACAACAACACACACATGAACACAACAACACACACCTGAAACACACACACACACCTGAAACACACACACACACTGAAACACACAACACACACCTGAAAACACAACACACACCTGAAACACACACACACACCTGAAACACACAACACACACACCTGAAACACACACACACACACACACAACACACAAAACACACACCACACACACTGAAACACACAAACACACACACTGAAAACACACAACACACACACCTGAAACACACAACACACACAAACAACACATGAAACACACACACACACAAACACCTGAAACACACAACACACACACTGAAACACACAACACACAAACACAACACACACCTGAAACACACAACACACACACACACACACACCTGAAACACACAACACACACACAAACACACACATAACACACACACACACACAAACACACCTGAAACACACAACACACACCTGAAACACACAACACACACACCTGAAACACACAACACACACACCTGAAACACACCAAACACACACACTGAAAACACACAACACACACACATAACACACAACACACACCTGAAACACACAACACACACCTGAAACACACAACACACACCTGAAACACAACAACACACACACACACACACTGAAACACACACACACACCTGAAACACACAACACACACAACACTGAAACACACAACAACACACAAACACACAGCACACACCTGAAACACCAACACCACACTGAAACACACACACACACACACACACACATAACACACAACACAACACACAACATGAACACACACAACACACACACACCTGAACACACACACACACACACACACACTGAAACACACAACACACACCTGAAACACAACAACACACACACTGAAACACACACACAGAACACACAACAACACACACACACACACACACACTGAACACACACAACACTGACACACACACTGAAACACACAACACACACACAACACACCTGAACACACAACACACACACACACGTGAAACACACAACACACACACAAACACACAACACACAACACACAAACACACAACTGAACACACACACAACACACACACACTGAAACACACACACACACACACACAACACACACAACACAACACACACACTGAAACACACAACACACACACTGAAACACACACACAACACACAACACACTGAAACACACAACACACACCTGAAACACACACACACACACCTGAAACACACAACACACACCTGAAACACACAACACACACCTGAAACACACAACACACACACCTGAAACACACACACACACACAACACACAACACACACCTGAAAACACACACACACACAAACACACAACACACACCTGAAACACACACACACACACCACACTGAAACACACAAACACACACAAAACAACACACAACACACCTGAAACAC